CATTTTCTTCAGTTATTCATCACTTCTTGTCTTCTCTTTCTTGAACCCTGTGCCCAGGCTCCCGACCATCCTGCACACCCCAACTGACCTCTTGCTCTGGACCGCCTCCCCCCCCCCCCCCCCGAGCCCTGCCCAGTGCTCTGCTCTGAGTTGGTGGTGTTCCCTCCACTTGGTCTCCTGGACAAGCTGTTCTCTTTCAGCTCACCTACCTGAATCATGATGGGATCCAGAAGAGTTTGTAATACCCTAAGCACACAGCATTGCCTCTGGTTGAAGCTTCTGTTGGTGGGGTCAGTGTGCCAGATGTTGAGCGAGGACGTGTGCCCCTCCCAGTTGGTGGGATCATGCTGGTCACTGCATCGGATACATGCAGTGACCAGCCCCTGGCCAGTGGGAAAGCCGTGTGCTCTGTGCTCCTGTAACCCATGGTGGACAGACTGACCAGCCCCTCCCCTCTAAGACACAGAGACCCTCTCTGCCAACTCCAGCATCTGCAGGCCTGGGGACAGGGCAACACCCCAGGGCAGGGTTTCTGTCATCCCAGGCCACAGGCCACAGGGTGCAGTGGCTCATCCCACCCAGCACCCAGGCAGCACCAGGACCCGCCCCCTTCACCCATCCCCTGGCACCACTAATCTGCTTTCCCTCTCGGTGGATTGACCTGTTTTGGAGATTTTTTTTTTTTAAAGATTTTATTTATTTATTTGACAGAGAGATACATAGCGAGAGAGGGAACACAAGCAGGGGGAGTGGGAGAGGGAGAAGCAGGCTTCCCGCTGAGCAGGGAGCCCGATGTGGGACTCGATCCCAGGACCCTGGGATCATGACCTGAGCCGAAGGCAGACGCTTAACGACTGAGCCACCCAGGCGCCCTGTTTTGGAGATTTTATATAAATGGACTTATATAACAGGTGGCCTTCAGGGACTAGCTTCTTTCACTTAGCATAATGTTTTCTAGGTTCACCTACGTTGTAATGTATGAAACATATAAGGTACTTTTTTCCATTTATTGCAGAATTCTATCCCATTGTATGGATATACCACATATTATTTATTCATTCATCATTTGATAGACATTTGGGCTGTTTCTAATCTCAGCCATGATGTATAATATTATGAACATTTACGTACAAGTTTCTGTGTGAAAACAGGTTTTCATTTCTTTGGGGTATATTCCATCTAGAGGTGGAATTGTGGATCCTGTGATAAATTCAAACCTTTTGATATGCTGCCATGTGGCTTTCCAAAGTGGCTGCCCCATTTTGACAGTCTCACCAGATGTAAGAAGGGTGTGATTTTCCCACATCCTTGCCAACATTTTTTTTAAAGATTTTATTTATTTATTTGTGAGAAAGAGACACGGCGAGAGAAGGAACACAAGCAGGGGGAGTGGGAGAGGGAGAAGCAGGCTTCCCGCGGAGCAGGGAGCCCGATGCGGGGCTTGATCCCAGGACTCTCGGATCATGACCCGAGCGGAAGGCAGATGCTCAACGACTGAGCCACCCAGGCGCCCCCCCTTGCCAACATTTGTCATGTCTTTCCTGGTGGTATGAAGTGATATCTCCCTTCCAACTGATGATATTGAGAGTTTTTTCGTGTACTGACTGGCCTTTCTGTATCTTCTCTGGAAAAATTTCTGTTCAGATATTTTGCCCATTTTTAAAATCTGTTATTTGTCATCTTGTTATAAGTTGCAATAGTTTTTTTTTTAAGATACAAATCCCTATGACACGTGTGATTTGCAAGTATTTTCCCCCGTTCTGTGGGTGTCCTTTCTCTCTATCAGTGGCATCCTCTGAAGCACAGAGGTTTTTAATTTTGGTGAAGCCCAGTTTATCCATTTTTTTCTTTTTTTGCTTCCATCTTTGTTGCAATTTATAAGAATACATTGCCAAATCTAAGGCCACAAATGTTTACTCCCAGGGTTTCTATTAAGAGTTTTAATGTTTGGGCGCCTGGGTGGCTCAGTTGGTTAAGCGACTGCCTTTGGCTCAGGTCATGATCCTGGAGTCCCGGGATCGAGTCCCGCATCGGGCTCCCTGCTCGGCGGGGAGTCTGCTTCTCCCTCTGACCCTCCTCCCTCTCATGCTCTCTGTCTCTCATTCTCTCTCTCTCTCTAATAAATAAATAAAATCTTTAAAAAAAAAAAACAAAAAAAGAGGGTGCATGGGTGGCTCAGTTGGTTGAGCGACTGCCTTCGGCTCAGGTCATGATCCTGGAGTCCCGGGATCGAGTCCCGCATCGGGCTCCCTGCTCAGCAGGGGGTGTGCTTCTCCCTCTGCCCTCTTCCCTCTCGTGCTCTCTGTCTCTCATTCTCTCTCACTCAAATAAATAAATAAAATCTTTAAAAAAAAAAAGAGTTTTAATGTTTTAGTTTTTACATTTAGGTCCTTGATGCACTTTGAATTAGTTTCGTATGTGATATGAGGTAGGGGGTCTAACTTCAATCTTTTGCATGTGGATGCCAGTTCCCCAGGACCATTTGTTGACAGACTACTCTTTCCCTTTAAATTATTTTGGTACTTGTCAAAATCAATTTATTTTATTCTATTTTACATATTTATATTTTACTTCTCACTTCTCAATTCAATTCCATAAGTCTGCATTTCTATCCTTGTGTCAGTAAGTGAGAATGGAATTGCTGGGTCCTACAGTAACTTGTCTTGATCACTATAACTTTGTAGTGAGGTTTGAACTTGGAAAGTGTGAGTCCTCCAACCTGCTCTTCTTTATCAAGATTATTTTGGCAGCTCTGGGTCCCTTGCATTTCCATATGAATTTTAGGGTCAGCTTATCCATTGCTGCACCTGGGACTTTGGTAGGGATTGTGCTGAAGCTGTAGATAAATTTGGATTTAGTAATAGATAGTAGATTCTTAGAAATGACACCAGAGGAACAAGCAACAAAAGAAAAAAAAATAGGCAAACTGATTTCATTGAAATTAAAGACTTTTGTGCATCAAAAGATATTACCAAGACAGTGAAAAGATAACCGGCAATGGGAGAAAAATCTGACAAGGGCCTAGTATTCAGAATATATAGAGAATTGTTACAAACCAACAACAAAAAGGCAAACCTAATTTTAAAATCGGCAAAAGATTAAATAGACATTTTTTAAAAAGATTTTAGTTATTTATTTGACAGGGAGAGACACAGCAAGAGAGGGAACAAAAGTAGGGGGAGTGGGAGAGGGAGAAGCAGACTCCCCACTGAGCAGGGAACCCGATGCTGGGCTCGATCCCAGGACTCTGGGATCATGACCTGAGCCGAGGGCAGATGCTTAACAACTAAGCCACCCAGGCGCCCCTAAATAGACATTTATCCAAACAAGTTATACCACTTCCCCCACTAGAATGGCAATGAGTAAATGAGCTGAAACTAACAAATCTTGGCGGGGATGCGCAGAGATTGGAACCCTCATACACTGCTGATTGGAATGAAAGTGGTTCAGCTGCTTGGAAAACCGTATAGGGATTTCCCAAAAAGTGAAACACAGGGGCGCCTGGGTGGCTCAGTCGGTTAAGCAGCTGCCTTCGCCTCGGGTCGTGATCCCAGGGTCCTGGGATCAAGCCCTGCATCGGGCTCCCTGCTTGGCAGAGAGCCTGCTTCTCCCTCTCCCTCTGTCTGCCGCTCTGCCTCCTTGTGCTCTCTCTCTCTCTGTTAAATAAATAAATAAAAATCTTTAAAAAAAAAAAGTGAAACACAGAATTACCATGTGACCCAGAAACTCCACTCCTATATACCCAAAGAATTTTAAACAGGTGTTCAAACTAATACTTGTACACAAACATTCATAACAGCACTAGTCACAAGAGCCAAACGGTGGAAACACCCAAACGTCTATCCAAAGAGGAGTAGATAAATTGTGGAATAATCACTCACAGGAATAGTCTTCTTCCATAAAAAGGAATTAAGTATCGATACATGCTACAACCTGGATGGACCTTGGAAACATTAGGCCTAGTGATAGAAGGCAGACACAAAACGAAAAATATTGTATGATTCCATTATATGAAATACCCAAAAGAGATAAATCCACAGAAAGGAGATTGGTGGGAGGAGGAGAAAACAGGGAGTTTATTTGGGGATGATAAGAATGTTTTGGAAGTAGATAATGGTGGTTGCACAACGCTCTGTTTAATTGTTCATTAAACAATCTGTTCATTAAAATGGTTAATTAGATGCTAAGTGAATTTTACCTAAATAAAGGTGTAAGAAATTTATCATTTTGTGAAATACTATGATGTCTGGGATTTGCTCCAAAATAATGAAATGGGGTGTAGATATAAAAAGTCTAAAGGAAGGGGCGCCGGGGTGGCTCAGTCGGTTAAGCGACTGCCTTCGGCTCAGGTCACGATCCCGGAGTCCTGGGATCGAGTCCCGCATCGGGCTCCCTGCTCGGCGGGGAGCCTGCTTCTCCCTCTGACCCTCCCCCCCTCATGCTCTGTCTCTCTCTCTCTCTCTCAAATAATCTAAAAAAAAAAAAAAAAAAAAGTCTTAAGAAAAAAAGAACTTTGGTTTGCAAAGAAAACAGAAATGGATTGGAAGTGGATAAAAGCAGAGTTGGGAGCCCTAGCTGAAGTCCTGGCCAGACGCGAGGGCTGGGCGATCGGGCGGAGGAGGGGCTCGAGCTGAGTGGCTCCGAGCGCGTCCCTAGACCCAGCAAAGGGGCTGTTTGGGCAAAGCAAGGGCCCCAGGGCTTGCGTGAACCCGGCCGGGAGGGTGTCCTTGCTGAGCAGCGGGGCAGGCATCAAGGACTGCCCTTCGGAAATCACCTCCTCGTACACCTTAAACTCACACCGTGCACACCACGTTTAAGTCAATTGTATCTCAGTAAAGCTGGGAAAACTGTATCCAACAGGGACGGCCGTTAGGGTTGGGCGCGCGCCGCGGTCAGACGCCGCTGGAGACGCGAGGAGACCGGCGGAGCCTGGCCGCGTCCTCCACCCGCATCTCAACCAAGTCCCCGGGTGGCTCTGTATCCTCCCCAGGGACGTGCGGCCCCGGTGCATCCTCGGGCCCTCCGCGGGCGCGGTGGGGCGCAGGCTGCCGCCTCGGCGCTGCCAGCACCGGGCCCACCTGGCGGCACGTGCCAGGTGCGCCCCCGCGCGCTCCAGACCCCGGCCCCGGCGGGGTGGCGGCGGGGCGGGGCGCGCCAGGCCACGCCCCGGGGCGGTGCCGGGGGCGCCCCTGTCCGCGCCCCTAGGCCGCAGGGTGCGCGCCGCGTCGCGCCCCTGGCGGAGCTCTGGGCCATGGCTGCCGCCGAGCCCAAGCCCCCCGCGAGGGCGGACGCGGCCAGGCTTCTGGCCCGGGGCTGCTGGTCGGCGTTCTGGGACTACGAGACGCCCAAGGTGATCGTGGTGAAGAACCGGCGCCTGGGCGTCGTGTACCGCGCGGTGCAGCTGCTCATCCTGCTCTACTTCGTGTGGTGGGTGCGGCCGGGCCGGGGGCGCGGGGGCGCCGGGGCCCGGAGCCACGGGGAGCGGCGGGGGAGCGTCCCGGGTCGCCTCCAGAGCGGCCCTGCCCGTCCCGCAGGTACGTGTTCATCGTGCAGAAGAGTTACCAGGACAGCGAGACGGGCCCCGAGAGCTCCGTCATCACCAAGGTCAAGGGCATCACCTTCTCCGAACACAAAGTGTGGGACGTGGAGGAGTACGTGAAGCCCCCCGAGGTGCGCCTGCCCGCCCCGCGCGCCCCCGGGAAGGAGCGAGGGGTGTCTGCGCTGCCCGCCTTGGCCGACCATCCCCTCTTTCTGAGCCCAGGGAGGCAGCGTGTTCAGCATCATCACCAGGATCGAGGTCACACCCTCCCAGACCCTCGGAACCTGCCCAGAGGTGAGGCCAGGTGGAGGGCAGAGCTGGGGCGGAGGGAGGGGACCCAGCTGTGCCTGCCCCAGAAGGTGTGGGGCTCCTGACCAAGCCGGTTCCTCCCTAGAGTATGAGGGTCAGCAACGCCACCTGTGACTCGGACAAGGACTGCGTGGCCGGGCAGCTGGACATGCTGGGAAACGGTCAGTGCACGCCAGCCGGGGGTGGGACGGGGCGGCGCTCCTCGCCCCCTGAGCGCCCGTCTGCCTGCAGGCCTGCGGACCGGGCGCTGCGTGCCCTACTACCAAGGCTCAGCCAAGACCTGCGAGGTGTCGGGCTGGTGCCCGGTGGAAGATGGGGCCTCTGTCAGGTGTGCTCCCCCGGTGACCCCACCTACCTGGGCCCCCGCTGACATCCCAGCACGACTGTTTCCCTCCTTTCCTCACTGAGCAGAGCCGGGATGTGCTGGGGAGGGGGACTGGGGCGGGAAGACTAAACACATCCAGTCTGTGCCTCCTCAGCCAATTTCTCGGCAAGATGGCCCCAAATTTCACCATCCTCATCAAGAACAGCATCCACTACCCTAAATTCCAGTTCTCCAAGTAAGAGCCACTAGGGTATGGTGACAGTGAGCTAGGGATGGGAGCTACCTCCAGGGAGCGTGCTGTTGGTGGGTGCAGAGCACTGACGTTGCTGGGCCCTGTCCGCAGGGGCAACATAGAGCACCGGAAGGACGGCTACCTGAAACGCTGCACGTTTGACGAGGTCTCTGACCTCTACTGTCCCATTTTCAAGCTGGGCTTCATTGTGGAACAGGCAGGGGAGAACTTCACAGAGCTGGCACATACGGTGAGGCGGCAGCCGAGGGGCAGTGGGGGAGTCAGCTCTCCTTCCAGATGCTGGCCCCTACTTGCAGACGAAGGGCCTGCCAACCCCCTTTGCAGTCTTGGCCAACCCTGGCCCTCTTCAGGCAGATGGAGGAGAAACACGATCGGCCAACCCATCTGGGCATGCATGGCTCCTGCTAAATTATTAACTCCTGGTCACACAGCTGGCCACCAGCGTCCCCTCATGCTTCAGAAGCAGGGCACTCCCCAAGCACCCCAGCTCTCAGCCCGGAGCTGTCCCAGGTGCCCCGAGATGAGCACCCCATATGCAGTCTCAGGGCAGGACCCCACGGCCCTCGAGGGTCCTCTGTGTGCCCTCCCTGACACCCATCTCTGCGCCTACTCCGGGCAGGGTGGCGTCATTGGGGTCATCATCAACTGGGACTGTGACCTGGACCTGTCAGCGTCAGAGTGCAATCCCAAGTACTCCTTCCGGAGGCTTGACCCCAAGCACGTCCCAGCCTCGTCTGGTTACAACTTCAGGTACCTTGGCCTTGGGATGCCTGGTTCTCGTCTTCCCTGGCTGTGGGGTCTCCAAAACGACAGGGCAGGCACTCAAAAGTTCAAGGGCCCCGGGGTTGGTGGAGTTTTGGAGTGTCCCATCTTGGGTGATGGGTGAGCACCCACCGCCACGCTCCAGTCATTCTTACCCAGGTTTGCCAAATACTACAAGATAAACGGCAGCACCACCCGCACACTCATCAAGGCCTATGGGATCCGCATTGACGTCATCGTGCATGGACAGGTAAACCAGCCTGCTCTGCCTACCAAGGATTCAGGCCGGCCCAGGGCTGAGCTGGCACAGCCCCATCTCCCCCACCCTCCCTTGAGCCCCACTTGCCCCAGGCCCGGCAACCATCTAAGGCCGCCTCCCCTCCCAAGGCAGGGAAGTTCAGCCTGATTCCCACCATCATTAATCTGGCCACAGCACTGACCTCCATCGGGGTGGTAAGGAAATGCATGCTGGGCACTGGGCGGGGGGGTGGGGGGTGGGGGGGGTCCTTGGTAGTGGGAGCGGGAGGGGTGGTGTCTCCTAGGCCCTTACATGTGGGTCTTGCCGGCCCAGGGCTCCTTCCTGTGTGACTGGATCTTGCTGACATTTATGAACAAAAACAAGGTGTACAGCCATAAGAAATTTGACAAGGTGTGCACGCCGAGACGCTCCCCTGGTAGCTGGCCTGTGACTCTGGCTCTTGTGTTGGGCCAGGCCCCTCCCCCACCCCATCCCTGCTCTGCAGACCTAGGCCAGGCAGGCCAGGCTCTGGCTGCCCCGCCCCCATGGCTTTGCCCCACCTCTGCCCCATCCAAGCAGATGGTGGACCCTCCTGAGCAGACTGCAGAACCAGAGCTGTCCACCTCCGAACCTTCCCGGCAGGACTCCACACTCACAGACCCCCGAGGTTTGGCCCAGCTCTGAGCCCACCACACACCTTCCATCATGTTGTCTCAAAGGCTCTGCCTGGTAGGGCCCTTAAGTCTGTGGTCCCAAGAGACCGAGCCCCAGCTCCCCTGGCAGCCCACAGAGACCTGCACAGTGCACCTGGGGCCCTGCCCTCGCACCTCAACACTGTGAGAACCTGGGAACCACAAGACCCCCGTGCAACCGGGCAATGGGCCGACACAAAGTGGGTGGCACCCTGACCCTGGCTGGCCCCCCAACTTCCCCCAGGTCTGAAGGGAGGGAGGGGCAGATTCCTGCCTCCTCCCCAGCCTCTCACCCCTCCCCGCCCACACCCCTTGCTTGCTTCATAGCAAGAAACCACATATCCAGAATCTAATAAACGTGTGACCAGAACCTCTGGCCTCATTTTTCAGGAAAAGCATCTGGAGGCCCTGAAGACAAACATGTAGGAGGGTCCTTGCATGTGGGAGCTGTGGGCGCCCTTGGTCCTGTCTCCCCTCTAACCAGCCTGGGTGCGGAGTTTGCACAGGCATGTCTACCCCCATGTCCAGCCAGGTCATGGTGACATCTGACCAGGGGGGCCACGGGGGTGGGCAGAGACTGACGGTGCATGAGGAACTCAACTTGTCCCAGCACCTGCCCTGCAGTTAGCTTGCTTACCAGCTTCCTGGGGGTGGGGGTGTCACCCCAAACCTAAGCCTCAAAATATGGAACAGGATGGGGACTCTGGAGAAGCGGAGCCAGAGGGCAGGTGAGGAGAGTCGTACTAAGGAAAACACTGGCTCTTGCTCCAAACCTGTGCGAGCATCCCAGCCCCCACTTACAACAGGGTGGGCAGGGCAGGAATTTGGTGCTGGGGATGGGGATGGACAGGGCAGGGCCAGATTAGGAGGTGCACAGGCCGGCGCCAGCAGGTCAGGCCTGCAGATAATTGGCTAGCACGCCCAGAGATGCCACACTGGTCATTACATCCAGTGACTCCGCCTGGTGCCTGTCTGGCCAGGCCCCCCCTTGAGGGGTTGCCAGAACTTGGCTGGACAGTGGTTTCCCTAGCAACGGGGATGGCGAACACAGGTCTGAGGCAGCACGGGCATGCTTTGCACAGATCACCTTGGCTAGGATCCCACCACTTCCAAGGTCCAGTGAGGGCTCAGACCCTGCCCAGCTCCCAAGTCCCCAAGTCCAAGTGACACTGGCAGGTGGCCAGAGCCGGCCCTCCCACCTGCCCACACCCACCTAGGCCAGCAATAACACACACCTGAGAAGCCCCGACCCAGCCCCCTCTGCAGACCCTCCCATTCCTGGGGTGAGGACCCCACTGTCACCGAAGGGCCTGCAACATCCTAGGTGCCTGGCTTGCTGACATCCAGCTCTAGTTTTGGAGAAACTGGCTTTTCCAGTTGGGGCTGGACTGCAGCTCAAGGACCATGGCCAGGGGTTCAGGTTTCCCATTCCCAAGCAGGAGAGTGACCCTGGGGCCCTCAGCTGCCCCAAATGCCCCAGGCCCTAAGCTGGCCTCTGCAGGAGCCACCCTGCTGCAGGGACTGGGGGTGGGGGTGGGTGTGCAGGCCCTCAGTCCCACCCCACCCCCCTCTGGGACTTCTCCAGCTCCACTTCCAGGAAGCCTGGTCAGCCCCCTCCTCCCCCACCCAGCCCTAATTTGATTTGATCTCCATCTGGGGGCTGATGCAGGCTCTAACCACCTTCCAGCCAGTGTTGGGTTTCTCGTGGCCACGGGGCCTAGACACACCCAAATTTCAGTACCCAGGGGCCAACGCACCCAGCTGGACCGATGTTAGCTACTCCTCCTTCCATCCGTGTAGACTGAGACACCTCGCACATACACACGTAAAAATCTCAAAAAATGTAAAATTCAAAGAATTAAATGAAGTTCACAGTATAATACTGAGAAGTTAGGCAACAAGGATGAATTTAAGCCAGGCTCCAGAGCCCACAGTGGCGGAGGGCTCACACAGGGCTTCCCCTGAGGCCGCCCATTTGGGGTCTGCTGTCGCCTTACCAACTCTGCCGTTCTTTTTCTGCTTCCAGTCCCATTTAGTTAGAAACCAAGTGTGGAGTCGGTCTTCTGGGGCCACCAACAGAACAGCGGAAGCAGCTGCTCAGCAGTCTTCCAGAGGTTACTGAAAGGCAGGCCCCCCACGGCCTGGGCCTCTCCCCTTGCCCAGCCCAACCTGCAGGGAGAGCTAAGGGCCAGGCCCCACCTCTCTGGCCTCACCCAGCTCCGAATACGCTGGTGGCAGGCATCCAGCGTTAAGGAGGCCACACTCTAACCAGCTCTGCCATGGGCAGGTGAGGGCAGCAGGCCCAGGGCTTGCATGCCCCGCTTGGCCTTTGGAGGTCGGGCAGGCCCCACCAGGGTCAGAAGGCTTGGACCAATCCCTGACACTGAGCAGCCAGAACAGAACCACGCAACCCCAACAAAGCTGCTGATGCTGTTTCTGTCTCTCCCCAAGACATAGACCCCTCCGAACTGAAGGGAAAAACCTAAAACCTTGCACGTGAAGAAATGTTCTCCTCAAACCCAGGCACAAGACACGACGTGAGAGTCTGACAGATGGTGTGCACTGTCCCTCCCCTGGGCCTCGGGCTCCCCGCCACTGAGACCAGCACGTGTACCCGGGGGGGCTCCTCACAGCACAGGTGGGTCAGCGGGCAGGGGCGCCACACCCCGGATTCCAGTCTCGCTGCTGCAGATAGGAGGACTGTCATGGGAGCCCCCACCCCTGCAGACCCTACTCTGACCAAGAAGTTTCCAGACGACAAGCCCAAGTCCCGGGAACTCATCGTGTGAAAGACGCCCAGGTCCCCACGGGGTTCAGCTCTGGATTCCCTGGAAATGGTCCAAATCCTGCTGGTGTCAAGTTATCGGACGTGTTCTCTGTGGTAACAAGTGATCAAAAACCAGGGGCGCAAACTCCCACTAGGCTACCCTCAGGAACTCTGCCCAGAGACCCCCCTGAGCAGCAGGGAGGGCTGTTTAGTCAGCAAGACACAGTCCTGGGGCCCCTCCCTGGGAACACTGCTCAGGCCCAGAGTGGGCTGTCCTGACCACAGCTGGGGACCCAGGGAACCCAGAGGTAAGTTCTCTCCTGGGCCCCGTGACCGCTCCCCGAAGCTCCCTGAGGCTGGTGTTCCCTGCTGCTCCGTCCTGGACATGGCCACAAGTTTGGGAGGTCAGGGCAGAGAAGGGGGACGCTGCTCAAGTTGCTAATGGCCCAGCTGAGGGTTCTTCTGCAGCAGCCACTCCAGGGTCTCCATGAGGTACGACATGCCATAGTGCTGGGCAATGTTCCGGAAGATTCCAATCTGCTCCATGAAGACCTGCAGAAATGAGAAGTCACAGTGAGACCCGGTTCCAGAGGAGGCCCCAGCGTGTAGGTGTAGAAGCAGATGTGGGCAGACGGGAAAGGGCAGCAGGGCTGGCTGGCTGTGGGAGCCCCACCTTGGTGTGGATGGTGAGGGCAAAGCCCCCCGCACAGTGGCAGTACACGGGCATGTTGGTCTCCTTCACGCCCCGGCACTTCAGGCAGATCTGCAACGAGGAGCAGCCCTGGTCAGGAGTCTCCCCTGCCCAGGCCAGTCGCGGCCAGCAGTGGTCAGCCGCTGAGCACATTCACTCGACCGGCCCTCCCTGCCTCCCGCTGCCATGGCCTTCAGCTCAACTATGAATAAAATGCAGACTCTGCAACAGGATCTACCCAAACATGCCAGGTGCTTCCTAACACCCTCGGTGTGAGCACTGCACCCTTGACTCTTGAGTCCTGGGAGCTCCTCACCCCTGCTCCGTCCTCGGGTCTCCCCACTCCATCACAGCTCCTCAGATCTCTGCTCAGATGTCCCCGCTCAGAGGGAACATCCCTCCATCCAATGCTGAAAACCTCCCTGTCTCTCTCTCCCCGTCCATTCTCTTTACGCTCACCGTGACTTACACACCGTCTGCTCATGGTCTATCCCCTCTCACTACAATGAAAGATCCGTGAGGCCAGCACCTGGCCCCTGTAGGAACCCCAGAGATGCTGTAAGAATGAGTCAAAAGGACGACGCCTGAACAAGGGGTGGTCACCTCAGAGGACCAGGTCATGACTTGAGAAGTGTGCACACCCGTAGCTTCTCCTGGGTGCCAATCGCTTACCCAGAAGGCCTGTGCCCACTGGAGGGCAGTCCCCAGTGCCAGGCCCACTGCTCACCAGGTCCTGCAGGGTGAAGGCCATCACTTTCTTCTGCAGGGCTTCCACCAGAGCCATCTCGATGACTGATGTGTCATAGGCAATCTGACAGTTGGAGCAGAGCCACTGAGCCAGCAAAGCCCCGTCCTGGGCAGAGGAGGAGGGGGCCCGTCAGTTCTCTGCTCAGCCTCTGCTCAGCCTCCCCCAGGGCTGGGGAGGGACAAGGTGGCGCGAGCAGGGGAGGTGGGGGCTGCTGGCCCACAATGAGGTCACCACCAGGCGTGTTTACGAGGACACTGCTCTGGTACGCGGCACAGAGTGCCTTTTACATCAGAACTCGCAGGGGGGCTCAAGAGGGGGCGCCGTAGCCCCTCCGTCCTGACTCCGCCGCGAGGACCCAGCGGCGACAAGGACCCGGCGCCGTGAGGGTTAGGATTATCCCTAACTCGGCGGCCGCCCACCTGAGAGAAGGAGGATTCTCTGCACAGGTCCAGGTCCCGGCAGAAGTTACAGCTGCGGCATATGACCTCAGGAAGCACGTAGGAACGACAGGGGTCTCGGAACTGGGCCTCCTCCGAGAACTCGCCCACGTCCACCAGGCGAAGCAGGTCCCGGTTCAACTTGTTCACCTGGTTTGTGATGTTCGTGTCCAGAGACAGAACCTTCAGAGGAAAGAGCCTGCGTCAGGGATGGCTCTCTGGGCTTCCCTGCTCTTTCAGGACTGGAAAAGCCTGTGGGGGACTCTTAAAGCTGTAGCTCCTCAGCATCACCTCACCCTCCCTTTTCCTGCTGGACGTGTCAGAGGAGGGGAGCCACAGCGTCTACACC